GAGAGAGAGAGAGAGAGAGAGAGAGAGAGAGAGAGAGAGAGAGAGAGAGAGAGAGAGAGAGAGGCCCAGGGTGCCGCCTGTATCAGTAAGTTTCCATAAATCCAGCAGCAAGTTGAAGTAATTGTGACAAAGAAGGACGGCTATGTATGACAGAGGTGATTACATCCTCTGAAGGAAGGATTTACCCTCGGTTGCATTTGCCCTTGCTTCCTGCTTGTGGGGTCAAACGTGCAATACACACGGTAATTGCCAGAATTGTGCTACCCTTGGATTGTGTGTCAGTCCTCGTTGTGTATAAGAATGCAAAAGGGCTCTGGGGCAGCCCGCTACGGTCTTCCCCCAAACATAACACGTGTGTTGTATTCAAGTTTTTGGAGAAAAAACGGCGATTCGAATAGAACGCACATGCGTTGTATTTGAATATAAGGGCTTTTCGAATAGAACATGCACGCGTTGTATTCGAATAGAAAACAACCTCTGTGATGTATTCGTTTACAACACGTGTTATGTTCAGGGGAAGGCGGTAGTATTTTCTGTCCCTTCCTTCCGTTCTGTCGTCTCTAGTTGTTCTCTCTTTCCTTTCCTGCCTTGGGCTCTTGCCATCGTTTGTTTCCACCGGCAAGTTCAAATGAGCGTGACAATTAGAGAATTGTTTGAAAGCATGGCTCACAACTTAAAGTTATGGGTTAAAACTTAAAAAGTACGGATGCGATTCTTCCAATAAGGAGCTACTCCTTGGGGTACATTCCCCAGTCTCTTCTCTTTTTCACAAGTACTCCGAGGCTTTTCTGTACAAGCCGCCTCCGCCTGCATCTGTCTTTCTGTCTTCCTGTACGTCTATCTGGTCCGCCCATCCATGCATCTCTCCATCCGTCCGTCCGTCCGTCCGTCCGTCCATCTGTTTGTCTAATTGCTGCTGCTCTGTCCACTCACCTACCGTCTTCACCCGAGCTGAACGCTGGTTCATTATCAGTGTATCTATCTATTCATTAGTGTATCTATTTATAGACTCAAAGTTGACCCAAATATGGCAATAATGACCGGCGCCGGATGTTCTGTGGGGGCGAAGACGGCAGCTGTGCACTCAGCTAGCTACGTCTCTATCAATAGATCCTCACTCATTGTTATCTCACTCGCTCCCTTTTGCATTGATGTCCTTGCTGGGTGTCTGCTTGTGTTTGTGGTGCAGGGCCTGCGCCGCTCGTTAGTCATGGAGAGGGAAGGTTTCGAAGATGTGCTGATTTCTCATCCTGGATTTGGTGGTACTGGTGTGGGTCAGGACGATGCGCAAGCCTTCCTTTGCGTTGGGCATGGGCAGGTTAACCAGGAAGTCACCCTCCTTCCAGGGGAAACCTGGAGAGCCTCTCAGATCATCCGACTTCATGAATGAAATTGACCGGTCTTTCCCGTCTACCATTCATTGAACTTTTCTCCGCTCTGCTTTTGCCGTCCATGTCATTGGTTAGGCGCTTGCCTGACAAAACGTTGGTCGTGTTTTCCGGGATTGGACATGCAGCTCGGCGTTTGGTACATGGAGAGGCAACATGCTGCCCCGAAAGTTAAGCCGGAACACAGATCAACTGCCAGCGCTTTTGACAGCCATTTTTTTCCTCCGACGTGGGCCGTATGCGCGCCACAAGTTTCGGGGGTCGGCCTACGGGGGAGGGGGGGCAAAATGGCTGGTGGCGCCAGCCAAAAGAAGGGATGCAACGCTTCTTTTTTTTCGGGCGCGCAGGGCATTTCCAGGCTCGGCAGGGGTAGGCCCGGTAGGGTCAAACATACAGGTGATTTCAGAGCATAAGCGGCGGTTCACCGGACTTCAAGGCATTCACTTTCAATCCCCTTTGTAAAATTGGGATTTTAATATCGTTTATACATAACATGATGATGATGATTTTTCACACTTCTTTAAAAAAGTTCAAATGTATTTCAATGACCTTTCTATACGTGACATTTTTTTCGCTGCAAAACTCAAAATCCATGGTAGAGTTCTCGGACCCATAACTTTAGTTTCGGAATCGACAGTGGTTTGGAGGATTTGTCCAAGACTCCAAATTAATTCAGCTCATCCAGCCAGACGAGGCATGGTTGCGGGAAAAAAGGGCTCACTGTGAAGGTCCGGGGGCGATCGGGGAGCAGCCTTCAAGGCACGCCTTCAGCCCTCGCGTTTGGCTTGCCAAAGTCATTGTAGAGGGATTCACCATGTTCGCTATGCGGACGACTTCCTCATTAGAGTCATCGGACCTAGAACGTTAGCCGATCTGCTGCACATACGATCCGTCTATCATGGGGGGTGTAATTGCAAGGAAATAACCCCTCAGGGGTGGCGTTATACAACATGGAGATCACCTTAAACTTCAGGGGCAGATTCATTCGGTCTTTTTAAGGAAACACTGGTCTGAAGACTCTTCCTAGATAGGAGGTAATGTATTTTGGGGGGTCCCAGGCTCGAAGAATATTAGATTGGAATCACCAGGGGATCCTGTATGTGTTCTGGTCTGGCCGTGAAGGCTTTAACAAAAGTGTAATTGGGGGTGTGTGAGTGTCCATGTGTGTGTCTTAGACTGTCACCAGAACCAACCCCTTTTAACAACCCCTTTTCCACCCAGATGAGTAGATCCAAATTTGAAACAGCCTTACCGTACAATCTTCTATCAGAGGTGTGTGTGTGTGTGTGTGTGTGTGTTCTGTGTGTGTTAAGTGAGATTAACCAATTGAAATGAGGTTATTGCATACATTCCGGGAGAAGGCCATAATTTACGAGAGCACTCTATTGTTATGGTTCACGGAGGTAGAGTCAAAGATTTGTCTGGTGTAAAATACCATTGTATTCAAGGAGTGAAAGACCTACGCTCATACGCACGCCAGGTCGCTTTACTTCGCGTTGGCTGAGCTTCGGCATAATGGCCGGCACAATACGGAATCCTGGCAGGGATGGTGAAGTCTATCGACGATGGAACGTGTTATGCGGTGCAGCCGAAGCGCTTGTGACTGCGCCGTAGCCGTGCTAATGGCGCGGTTGCCATGCAGCGTGAATGGAAAGTATGAGGAAAATATAGGCTGGAGGGCAACGATGGAACGTGTTATGCGGTGCAGCCAAAGCGCTTGTGAGTGCGTCGTAGCCGTGCTAATGGCGCGGTTGCCATGCAGCTTGAATGGAAAGTATGAGGAAAATATAGGCTGGAGGGCAACGATGGAACGTGTTATGCGGTGCAGCCGAAGCGCTTGTGAGCGTGTCGTAGCCGTGCTAATGGTGCGGTTGCCATGCAGCGTGAATGGAAAGTATGAGGAAAATATAGGCTGGAGGGCATGGGGGAGGTGGGAGGGCAGACAGTACATAAGCCCCACAGGACAGGGAAGGGCAAAGGCGGGACGGCACGGGGGAGGCGGGAGGACAAACGTCATGCAAGCACACCAAGCAGGCAGACCAGAAAAAAATACAAGTCCCAAGAAAACCGAAACACTGAAAAAATAAAAGTTGATGATGAAAGATTGTTTCATCGGAGTTGCACCGACTCGTCAGGAGGCTTTGACCCTTGTTGAAGGCAGACTTTCCCCCAGCGGAATATAGCAGCGGGCAGCAACCCTGCAGAGCACCAGGCAATGCAGTAGAGGCGACACGGCTGCACAACGCCAAAAACAACTGCAAGGAACGACACGGCACGCAGGTCTTGCAGCACGGCAACCACGCAGTGAAGCACAAGTCAACACCACCAAGACAACCACACTGCAAGGGACGACAGGGACAAGCAGCAGAGCAACCATGTGGTGAAGCGCAAGGCAACACCAACACAGCAACCAAACTACAAGGCGCACAAGCGAAGGACACGGATAGCCAGGCCAGCGGAAGGGCGGCAAGGCAGCAGAGCAACGATGCACAAGGCAACACCACAACCCGGCCACACCACGCAGCGAAGACAGCAGCTTGCCAAACTACCTGTGAAGCAAGCGGAATGGGCAGCAAGGCAGTGACAGAGTGCAGATGAGGCAGTTCACACATCCAACATGGAGTAAAGTGGCACATCACCTACTTACATCACGGGTGAACCCCGCAGACTGTTACTTCCCACCACCCACTGAGCCAGGGAGACACTCTGACGAGCGTCCGTCATCACCCACAGGCAACACAGATATCCAGAACCGAGCACCCCGCCTAAGAGTGCTGTAGGCACTCCAGACGAGGAATGACCAACTGTTTGGCACAACTTAAAGGTGCTCAGTTGGACAAACAGAATACTTCAAAAAAAATTGGGGAAAGGCGGAAAACAAACATACCAAAAACTGATTGCGTCTCTGTGTGTGTTGTTTTAAAAGACCCCAGATTCTCTTTCGCATTCCATTCACAAATCATCACAAGCCATCCATAATGAAAAAGTTAGATAGGCAATATAATAGAAAATGCAAGGTTGGCCGTGTTTGTGTGGTTCAGCGCCAAGTGCCCACACACCCATCTACCCCCAAAGTGGCGCACTTGCACATATACATATGTATACATATGTATTTCAAACCTTAAAGGGATGGAGGGCAGAAGGCAACTTACCTAAGACGGAAGACTACTCCAGCAAGAAGGCACTGACCCGACCCCCTCAAAGGTCCGAAAAAACTTGGAGAGCCTTCCGCATCGGCCCACAAAACCGAAAACTCATTTACCGAAAACAAACAAATATAACAGCATTGGCATTCCCCACATTTATCTCAAACCACACACTAGCGTCACTGCCAAAGAGGAGGAAGAAGATAAGAGAGAACTTACCTAAGACAGAAGACTCCTCCAGCAAGAACTCACCGACCCCCCACTGCTAAGGGTCCGAAAAAACTGGGAAAGCCTTCCACGCCGGCCCCCAAAACATACATTCCCCACAAAGAGAACTTGTGACCACCCATGTCCAAACAGCCCGTGCTCTAAAGCAGGGCAAAGAATTTGCGTGTATGTGTGTGTGTGTGTGCGTGCAATGCCAAGACCCCGACAGAATACTACAGCCTCATTTACGAGAATATGCTCTGCAGCGGGCTGTGGAACATTACGTTATGTGAATAAAGCCACCCAAGACAGAGTACTACAGCCTCATTTACGAGAATAGAATATAGTGGGACGGATCAGCACCAGGCAAGTTGAGGCAACCACGAGTAAGACACTCGCCAAGGCGCTGCACAACTACCTTCTTCCCCCGAACATAACGCATATGTATTGTATTCGAGTTCCAAATTTTGAAAAAAAAAATTGAATAGAACGCATATGCGTTGTATTTGAAATTTCAGGCTATTCGAATAGACGCACATGCGTTGTATTCGAACAGAACACTCCCTATGTGTTGTATTCGTTTACAACACATATGTGTTATGTTCGGGGGAAGAAGGTAGCAGCATTAAGGGATATAGGCCGGAGGGCGCCGGGGAGGCGGGTGAGCAGACAGAAGATAACTCAAGGCAACAAAGGGACAGGTAGACAAAATGCAAGTGGTGGAAAGGGCATATGAGGGAACAAGGTGACGACATGCGGCAGCAAAGGACAAAGGCTGGAGTGCAAGGGGGAGGCTGGTGGGCACGCAAAGGCATGAGGCAACACAAGACATAGGACGCCAAGCAGCAGCAGCAAAGAAGAGAGGCTGGAGGGCTTCGTTGACTACAATATTCAAAATTTTTGGATTCATTTTTAATTTTTTAAGCTTCATTGAGAACATTCTCAATTGACTATGAAAACTTTTCGGCTTTTTCGAAAACTCCGAGGAAGAAAAGCTATATGACCTGCAATCGGGGGAGGCGGGAGGGCAGACGATACACACAAGCACACAAAACAGGCAAACTCGAATGCAAAGTCCCCCACAAAGGAAAGACCCAAAAAAAAAAAAAAATTGATGCTGTGACATTGTTTCGTCAGAGTTGCACCGACTCATCAGGAGGCTGAACCATCCTTCTGCAATGAACCCAGATTGTGAAGACACTTGTCGACAATGCCAGCCCAGATAGATATCAACCTGCTGATGAATGTTGTTACATGCTGGGCCTGCAACAGGCTGCATGGGCCATTTTCAGGCCCGTGTCGTTTTCAGCCTGAAAGCCTGAAAACGAGGGTCTACAGACCCTGTGTCGTTTTCAGCCTAAAAGCCTGAACACAAGGGCCTACAGGCCTTGAGTCGTGTCAGCCTGAAAGCCTGAAAACAAGGGCCTACAGGCCCTGTGTCGTTTCAGGCTAAATCAGGGCCTTTCCGACCCTGAGTATTTTCAGCCTGAAATTGAGGGCCATTTTCAGGCCCTCATCAGTTCGACCTGCCCTGAAACTCAGGCACCAGACCAGGGTTTTAGCTCAGGCCATTTTTTGCCTATTTTCAAAAGAACCTTTGTTTGAGCTTCAACCCCAGGGTCTGGCACGTTTTGGCATTGGCAAGAGAAGCCTCCTTGACGGGCCAGCACTATATAAGACTGGCCCGCCCTGCAGGCTGCAGGTAGTTGGGAGGTAGTTCCTAGGTACTTCCCAGGCACTTCACGTGAAGGCAGGAGGCAGTCAGTAGTTTTCAGGATTCGGCAGCAGCACCCTGGAGGAGCGCTGCAGGAGTAGTAGCGTTAGCAATAGTCTTCAGCGCTGGGCGCTAGTAGCGCTAGTTGTAGTCTTCAACGCTGGGCGCCATAGCTAGAGTAGTACTAGAGAGAGAGAGATTGGGCGGAGGCCAGGGACACTTACCTGCAGCGTCGTTGCTCCAGCTTCGTCTTCGAGGTACCTGCAGCACAGCGCCATCTCCACAGGTTAGTACCTGACACATATGAGAGAGAGAGTTCTTTTTCTTCCTCTTCTTAGTCCACCATCTCCTTCTCGCCTTCTCGCTATCAGACATCACTGCATCAGCAGACTAAGAGAGAGAGAGAGAGAGAGAGAGAGAGAGAGAGAGAGAGAGAGAGAGAGAGAGAGAGAGAGAGAGAGAGAGAGAG